TTGAAAATTAATTCAAAATCATTTCAGAATATACAATTTTACAGAAAATATCAGAACAAAGTGTAAAGAACTTGCCGCTTCTTCTTTTTGGTGTTTTAAATTACACCAATTCCCGTTTTCCCTTTCCCTTTTGTGCTCACTTTGGCTGGGTGTCGCGCCATCAATTACTTTGATTCCATCGATTAACGCACAATCTAATCAACAATCAAGAAAATAGTTTTTATAGTACGCCACCGATGCAACTGCTATGGCGCGCTTCCCACTTCGCACTGGCTATCGCTGCTGCTCGAAATTACTTTACTTCATCTCCTTCTATACATTCATACTAAAGTATCAATAATTGCTCAGTTTATTTGGTTCCTTCTACCGTTGTAGTCTTATATTCTTTTGGCGCTTGCTTCAGCCGCTGTCAATATGTCTCATTAACTTGGCTAGTTTATGAACAGCTCACACCTATTTCGACATTAAGTGTGACCCTCATCGCTCATCCAATTGAAGTGCTACACCGCCTTCTTCTCGGAGCCCTTGAATGGAATTCAAGCGGTTTCTGTTTCGTGTTGCTCTTTGGTTTCTCGGTATGAAACGAGTGTTTTTGTTTCTTTTAATTTTGATTTTAACCACACATCCTGCGATGATGAGGGTGCGTTTATCATAGAAGTTCATCTGATTACCATAAAACTACGCTTTCTAATGCCGCTGCTGTTGTCGCTCCTGCTCGAGTAGGAAAAAAGTTGGATAAGGATGATAAGCTACAGCTCTATAGTTATATGTATAGAGATTATACTTATCTTCTCTCCATCTTTTCAAGAACTATCAAAAAAAAAAATGTTTTCGTAGAAGAAATAAAATATGTTTTCGTATTTGGTATAAAAAATGTATCGGATTGTGGGATGAATTGGCAATAAATGGCTTCTCGGCCTCACTGAAAAACCACTAAAGTTGCTCTGACTGAGCATCTCGAACAGGCATCTCCCACTTAGAAAACGCAACGAGTTTTTGCGAGATCTTTTCCTTTCATTAAATTCCTGAGTCCAACATCAGTCAAACAGCTCCTCAGTTCTGAGTACAAAACTGGCGATTTCAAATTGTTTAGATCGCTATATGGAAGTCAAAGTTAAGAGCGTCGCTCTGCCGTTTTGACTCAGATGACGGCCTTTAGTTGGTACTAAATGAGCCCAAATGATGATTGAGTTAATTAGAGCGAGTTGAAGTCTGAAATGAATGAAGTTACTGAGAAACCAAGCTTGGCTCATCTGTTTGCCTCATGGAGTCTATTTAAGGACTTATGTCCCATCCAGTTAGTGCTGGTGCTTAAAAATTCTCAAAAGGAAAACATTTAATACAAAATAGTTATAATATTCAAAATATATTTATACTTTTCAGTAAAATATGACCTAAATTAGCATTGGACCCAGTCACGCGCCCGATTTTGGGCAAGTTTTCAAAAATTTTATTAACGAATTATCGTGAGCAGAGAGAAAAGTCACAAGACGTCAAATTTATGAGTTGTTGCTTCTACTCGGAGCGAAACTAAATCACTTTCAATAAGTTTTCCTAAGTGTGGCATGTGAGCAGATTTTCGTATGCCTAAATTTGTATAAACATGCACACATATAAATGTACATATACCCGTATGTACATATGTATGTAAAGCTGTGTAAAATATGCAAACAGCATAGCCATAAAAATACCGCAATTAATAGCGGCACTAAAGGCACAAAAGTGTGAGGATATACCTAACCGTATGTATGCATGTATATACGTAGGTGTATATGTATTTATGTATAGCAAGAGATGCACGTGTAGGTAAATAAGCTGGGCAGTGGGCCAAATTCAATTCTATATTCTACGCTTCCTATAAAAAGAATGCACTTAACTAGACAAACGTCACACTAGTTTACCTATACACATATAAACATACATATATACTAGTACATACAAGTACATACGAGTACATATGTATGTATATGGGCTCACATAGGCATAAATTTAGTAAAAAATAAGACAAAATATAATTAAAATCGTATATTTATAGCAATGTATGTATGTATACACATACAATACAATGCAGTAGAGTCATGTCAATGGTGAAACATCAGCGAGTAACGTTAGATGAGTGAGTACACGTAGCAGCGGAGACAGTATTCGATTATTTGACACACTTTTCTTTACGACGTGAGGTTTCGCCTACTGAGTATTTAGCATAATTCAGAGGAAGGCTGCATACGCTTTCATATAAATAAAGGGGTATTCCTACAAAACAACTTCGTTTCGATTAAACATTTGGAATTTAGTTGTTTTCATTTGAAGTTTTTTCAATATTTTTAATCACAGCTCGAGGAGCCGATGAGGCGGTCATCACACATTGCCTTAAACATTGACTGTAAGTCAGATTGAACCACATCCCACATATTTTTCACGCTTAGTTTTCGATTCTCGACAGTTTTTATCCAATATAGGTCCTACACCACCGTATGGAAAACTACCCCATACCATAATACTGGATCTTCCGTGCTTTAACTTTTTTGCAGTGTCTCACGGGAGCCTTTACCTTCACGTTAAACCAATTTGGGCCTTCCAACTGTTGAGGGATCTCTGAGCATACAGAATGTGCTCACGTACGTATATACATACGTATATCTATACCTAAGAATTAATAAAAAACTCGGTTTATTATTATAAATATTTATTCAAGAAATTTATGTCCTTGCTTACGGTCTAAGTTGTAATTATTGTGTACACCTTGATTTAATGTGTAATAATGATTATGATTATAATATTCTCGGTCACAACGGTGAAATTCCGCTTAGTAGCCGCAATGTCGTCGGGTTAAATTGTTTGAATGTTCGTGTATGTGCCACTAAAGGGTCTTAAATTCATAACCGTCGCCTTGCCGATTTCAACAATTTAAAGCAGCAAAAGCTCATTTGGTACATCGCCATTGAAGGCGGCAACTTTCTTTTAGCTATTAAGAATAGCTGTTTTATACCCACCTGCACAAGTGTCACTCTTTCTTTCTTTGGTTTTTTAAAACTAACTAAAAAACCGCTACTTACAGCCATATTTTGGATAATTATTTGATTTTTTATTTAGTTTTAATGTAAGAAATGCTGAACAGGCCTACATTTTTGCAATGAAGAAAAATGCAAAAAATCACTTTTTCATTTTTTTAGATTCTTCATATCGTGAACTAGAATCTTTTCAACATTTTTTTCTTCCTTCATTTCCTGGGAAATTTAGCTCTCAATTAATATGTTTAATAAAGACGCTGAAACTCAAGTTCGACAGTTAGGAAACGCCAAATAATGGCAAATCATTTTTAATTTTAATTTTTATAATAGACGATCGCACACGTCACACGTTATTATTGTCATGTCTTCTCTATGAAAGCAATAGCAAAATAATGCAAATTTAAACAAATTCTCAGTAAACGTCCCATGACAGCAAACCACAACAAAAATATAAGAAATGCTTTAGTTTTGCTAAGAAAAATATTATGCATAACACCAAATCACATACAAAGATCAATAAATTGTTGAGTAATTGTAAAACTGTCAAAAAAAAAATAATAAACAAAAATACCCACGAAGGATGAAGAAAGCGCCCAACGCAATGGAATGCAATAGAAGAGACATTAGCAAGATCATTAAAACACTCCGCTGCCGCTCAGACTCATTGAACGTTTGGCTATGAGTAGTTGGTGGTATATTTAAGGAAGGTTGAAGAAGAAATAAACAGTAGACGCGTAAAGTGTTAAAACTTTGCACAACGGAAAAAAAATATATCGCAAACAGTGCCAATAAATAAAAGTGTGAATATGTGAATAGTGAGAGTAATTAGAAAAATACACATGGAATTCTGATATTTTGCAGGAGGCAAGTGCGAGACAGAGCCACAATATGTGGTTGATAGGGCCACACAGTCAAACACCATTTTTATATTTGTAAGTATTTATTTTTGAAATTTATTTTTTTTATATTTTTTTATTTGAAAACGAAACTTTTTTGGAAGCGATTTGTTATTTGCACTCATCGCTGTGTTTATTGTGTGGCAAATATAAATATTTGTATTTCTCTGGCACACTTAGGCTTACTGAAAGTAATGATGGATATCTGCTAAGCACTTGAAGCAAACAAATCGACAATTTGCCTAAAATATAGTGCTTTATAGTGCATTCCTTTCCGACGTAGGTAAGTTTACTAGGTTCCCCACTTGGGTGTCTACAAATGTCAAACAAACATTGCCACCAATATATAACACCTCAACTATTTACGAGCGCAATCAACCGCAATTTCAAATCCAATCGTCAGCGAATTGTTGCTCAATTTTTCGACACCTCTTTCAGTGGTGAGTGTCAACAGAAATTTTAAATATTGTGCAATAAGGTAGACTACTTCAAAGGCATACGATGTATGTAAAGATTGTGGAAATAGGCAACATAAACCAAATTTCAAGAAAAAAAAGAAACTTTTTTTTCAATTTTCCACCAAAAATGTATGGGAGCAAGGGAATTAATATAAAAACATTTAGAAATATTGAAATGCCAATATTTTTTAGTTTTTAAATTACTGAAATTGCTAAAAAAAAAGAATTAGAAAGAATTTTTAAACTTAATCCATTTTTTGTAAACAATTTATAACTATTACTTGTGTAGTAGTAGCTGTTGTTCCTCAATTATCTTTTTACTCATTTTGGGTTCTCATATCCTCTTCTATTTTTAAAGTACATTTGCGTTTGTTTTTGCTGCTACTGACGCCGCTATGTCGCATTACTTTGCGACAGATGTAGAACAATCGGCGGCTATTCAAAGCATGTGTCTGGCAAACAATTTTCCTCGACTTAAATAACAAAAAGTTGAGAAAAATACAGTAAATCGAGAAACGGATTTTCTCAGCAAATCTCATTTATAAAACATAAATTTGCAATTGTTTGTAAAAAAAATCCGAATAAATTAAACAATACCGCTATAATAAATTTATACCAACCTCTTCTTTTTGCAGAAAGAATTCACTGACGACTGTGTCTTCAACGAGAACATGGAGCAGCACAACTACAACACATACTCATCCACTTTTAATTCGAATACGCGGCGCGTGTATTATCTGGCGTTGAATCGCCATGGTGAGCCGCGTAAGCTGCAAATACCGTCCACCCGCTCGCTCGGCAAATTGGCCACATACACGAATGCCATTACCGAAACGGTGGAGGAGGAACGCGTCGAACAGCTGATAGCGAAGAATTTCGGCGAGAATCGCATTAAGCACGGCTTACGCCAACTCTGTGATACGGGCAAACCATTGATCGAACTGATCGATAGCAAACACTTCAAAGCGCTCCCCAAGTGCAATCCAAATTCTAGCAATAGCAATAGCGGTAGCAATAGTAGTAGTAATAGTAATAGTAGTAGTAGCAAAAAAAGTAGCAGCAACGTTAGTGGCAATGGCAGTGGCAACGAAAGTAGTAGCAGTAGTAGTACTAGTGGTAGCAGTAGTCCTGTAGGTAATAGTGATAGTTATAGTCCTAGTGGTAGTGGTAGTATTAGCCACCAATCAGTGAACAACGTTCCTGCTGCAAATGAAAGAGGCGAGTCACAGAGCAGCGCAGTCACAAATAGCCATAGCAACCACCAACAGAAAGGTGGCAGTAGTATTAGCAATAGTTCGACGGTAGGGAGTAGCGGTAATGGTAGTCAAAAAACCGTTGTCGGTCATCAGAATCACCATGGTGGTGGTGGAAAGAAGAAGAAGAAGCGGCGGAAGTGTCGGCCGCACGAGAACGAGGAGGAGCATAATTGCCAAAGGAGCCCGCTGGCGCTACGCAAGCGCGGCAATAATCTCAACAATAAAAAATGTCGAGAGCAGCTGGCGCTGCAACAACAGCAAAGAAGGCAGCTAAAAGCAAAGGGTGAGGAAATACCCCATATGCCGCTGCCAGCGCCGTGTAAGAAGAAGAAAAATGGAGGCGGCGGAAAAAAGAACCGCAATAACCAAAATCAAAATTCCAGCAACCGAAACGGTCTTGGTGGCGATACAGTGGCACCTAACAACCGACGCGGCAAGAAACTGAACGCCAATAGCCGGCAAGCGGGTGGCGGTGATGGAGCGGGCAATCGCAATTCCAGCGCGAATCGCAAAAAAGGGCGAAACGGTGGCGCGCAAGTGCAAAAGAAATTGAAGAAGCAACCAATAGTGAAGATCACTAGTACAACAGCAAGCACGACGCAAGCGACCAGCAGCAGCAGGCTCACCACAATGGCTAGCACAACAACTTCGCAGCAACTATTGGACATCACAACAGTGGCAGCAGCGCTATCAATACCACCCACCACCACCGAAATGAGCAGCGCTGAAGTGGATGATAGCTTGGATCCGCGTGCTGAGGTGACGAGTGTGCGCGGTGAACGCGAGCGAGAACAACGCAACGTGCGCTATACCAACTCGATGGAAGGCGATGACGCGCATGTGGTCGCGGCAGCAGCGGCGGCGGCTGTGGCAGCTGACATAACTGGCTCACGCGAAGACTCCACAGAAGCGGATGTAAGTGAAGAGGAGGCAGAGCATGAGGAGGGTAATGTCGGTGGCGCGTCAGAAGAAGAAGATAATGAGGAAGCTATCGACGATATGTACGATGAAAGTGAAGAGAGCGCAGCGGCAGTGCCGCCCGTCTCATCAGCAGCGGCGACAGTAGCGATCAGTGGCGGTAGAACAACAGCGACGCGTGCCCAGCTACTCGGAGACACAGACGACTTTCTGTACTACGATCAATTCGATTTGTGAGTTTCAAAATTTAAATTATTCATTACTTTATGTTAAAAACCCTTAAACTGTAAGCTAATCAACAACACACCACTATTCCCACACATCCAAACACAACATCCAAACAACCATCCACTCAATTGCATCCTTTGTAATCCATGGCTTCCTTTCTAGTCTTGCTACCTACGAAATTCGTCCTTTAACCTATTTTTATCAAAAAAATTTGTTTGGTATTTTGCTAAACATTTTTAACCATTTATCAAATGTGAACACGTTTATGGCCACACAAATATGTAACACAACTTCTTCAAAATTATTATGGTTTTTTGTTTTTACTATTTGGTTTTAATTAACATTGGAAAATTGTCTATTTCTTTCAAAATTTATTTAAACCATTTTTTAACTTTATTTACTAGCTACTACTGGATATGTGTATGCGATTTGGCTTTAAGTTTGCAAATGATTTTTTATTTACATTTACCGTTTTCTCTAAATTCTATTACTTTCGTACACAAATTTAAGAGTAGTTAGTGTTTTTCAAAATTTTCGAAATTCCGCACACGAAATTTAGCCTCTTCTTCAGTTTTTTATCCATAAAAATCCTTCTTGCATCCTACAAAAAAGCTCCGCACGCAAGCTCCCAAGCTCAAAAAAGGTGTAAAATGAAATGAAGAAGAAAGAAGAAATATGGAATTTGTACAAAAATATTTGTAATTTACCACTTACTACTTGTTATTTAAGGCATTTATTTATAGCAAACTTGCACTCACACACACATGCATACATATTGTAAATTGAACATTTAAGTATTTACAAAGAAAAGGCACGTATTTTTATATAAAGCACAAATCAAAAGCAAGAAAGGCCGACAAAGGAAATTGTAAAAAAGTTTCACATATTAATGTATGCAAATGAAGGAACACATATATGGACGTACATATGTATGTCCATATATTATCACATACTTTTGTTCGGGAAAGGCATATAATGCACTAGAAAGTTATCCGCACGCGTGTTGCAAGCTCGCAAACACACACACACACAGATGTAGCAGCGCTCCAACCAGGTCAACTCACAACCAACATCACCATCATCAGTCACCATCGTCATTTAAATACAGGAAAAGTTATTTTCCCAAAATAATAATCACAATCACACTCATATACATATAAACAGTCGAAGCAATATGATTATGTGGAGTATAAAAAATATTCCAGAAAGAGTAAAAACCAGATTTTTTCATACCGAAGCTTTGGGATCTTTTTAAAAATAAACAACTCAAATACTCCAAATCAGTTCCTGTGAGCGTTGAAACATTTTAAGAAAAATGCTGCTTAACTATTACTATCGTTACTACTCGAGTAGAGTGTTCTTGATGTTTGCATTCAAATCTTTTATTTGATAATTTTTTTTATTTTTTTCAAAAAAAAAATATATATATTATTGTACAACAGCGAGTTCTATTATAAATATAAAAATTTTCAACAACTTTTTCATTTGGCACGTTCAAAATAACGAAAAAGTTTTCACCTAGAGCTTTTAAGTTTGCAAAAGATATTTGCTTGCCTTTCACAAAATGGATTGAATAATTAAATCGCAAATATTCAAAAACCCTACAAATAACATTAAACATGTTGAAATAATCTTAGCTTAATATAATTTTTAGAAAAAAAGCTGTTCAAAATGTTTGCAAATAGTATAAATATGCATATTAATGTATAATAGGTGTTCCGCATACCTCGATGAAACACATGTAAACGAAAAATTGTAGCCAAATTCATTAGTAGATCTACTAAGGTCGGAAAATTGTCTGCAAATGAGCTTCATGTAGAGTAAAGTTTTGGAGCTTTCATGTTTTTAAATATTTTTTTCTTCTTTTGTGAGAATTAAAAAAGTTAAATTACCTGCGAATTATATTTAGTGTATTAATTCCAATAAAAGGTTCCAAAACGTTCGTTGGATAAATGTATGTTTGAAATTTTTAAAATTTTCTCTTTTATTTATTAAAACATGTTTAGTATTTGCCTTACTAATTTTAAAATTAAAAAAAAAATGTTCTGTGAAAAAAGTAAAAAAAAAATTTGTGCAAAATGTTGAAAAGCTCGAATTTCTCGAAGTTTTCGAACAATATGCAATGAACAACCGTAGGAGTACTCCTTACTCAAATGCTCGAGCTGCTCGAAAATGATCGAACAAAATCTTGAGCTCTAATACTCGTACATGCACGCATACAAAGTTCTGGTTTTTCATTAAAGAAATCTTTTATTATAATTTTTCGACTCAACCAGAAGCTCCACATAATCATTCATGAAAAGGCAATAAGGCGAAAACTTATTTAAAAAAATGTATAAAAATCTCTAATGAACTGAAACTCACCTACACATACCCATATATACATACATTCACAAATGACCTGTGGGCGAAAAACCACGAATGATGTAAATGCGGATGGCATGCATTAGCCAACGTACTGTAAATAGACTGCACATACATACATACACACGAACATACTCATGCAACTATAGTTTAATACAATATAAAGAAAAAAAATAATACGATACATTAGAAGCAATAATTAAAAGTAAAACAAAAACAATAAGCAAATGCATAAGAAACCTCGCTGCCTCTCAGTAACTAATTTTAAAATTTTCTAAAATTTTAAAAGTAAAAAACAAAACTAAATGTAATAGAAGAAAATAAACTCAACTTGAATACTTAACTGTAAATGTGTACAAAAATAAAAATAAAAACTGAAAATAAATAAATAAATAAATATACAACAAAAATAAGCTAACGAAAAACGAAAGAAATCGAATTACGAAACAATGAATGTCGATAGCAGGTACACTTAAAGCAAGAAAAAAAAAACAAAATCAAAAACAAGCCAACGCAATTCAAAATGCTCAAATATGCGCCTTCAAAGAATTTAGTATTAAGATAAAGGAATTTTTACAAAAAAAAAATTTAAAAAAATATAATAATATTACGGAAAGTCAATTACAAAATCTCTCAGCTTAGCATAAATTAAGGCAGCAAAAAGCAAACAACTGTAACTCAGCTATGATTAATTAATTTTTAATTGAATATTTATTAAAAAAAAAACCATATATATTTAATTATGTAAATTAATAATTTTAAATATTTTTATTTAATGTTTTTTATTTAAGTTATGTTTTGCTGTGCAACTAACAATTGAAAGTTGTAAAATGCAAACTGTAACTACTACTAAATCATAAGCGCATATTCATAAAAATCAAACAAACAATACACACAGTGTGTCACACACATCACTTACACATACACACACACACACACACACACCCGCGTAATACACATAACGATCAAGCTACTCAATAAATTTACTTATAATTGTAAAAAATATAAAAAATGAATTGAATTATAATTTAAAAAAAAATATATATATTTTTTAATTTCAAGAATTTAGTTTATGAAACCGTGCATATAAAATAAATGTGTAAGCAAAACAAATGAAATTACATACATAAACAGTCAGTGCACTGAAGGACATGTAAAGTGAATGCAAGCAACAGTAGACGGCCATATAAATAGAAGAACTATACAAGCAGCATAAGAAACAGAAATTTGTAAAAAGCTCTATTCTTAAGTTTATTTCCTTTCCAATTTTAACTGAAAACGAAAAACGCATATATATTAGTTAATAACTTTAAGAAAAAAATACAATTAAAATTGCTAATGATGAAAGAAAACGCAAAAATAAATGAGATAATTACAAATGAAATATTTCTGTTGAATAATTTTCTAACTTTTGGTAAAGTTCAAATATGAGGATATTATTGCATGCTTTTCCATGTTTGCGAAAGGTTTGCTTTGTAAAATAAGCAAATTTTCATTTTGAATTTGGGCATGAAAACAAGAAAAATATATTTTGAGAATAAGAAGACAAAAAAAGAATGATGGAGAAAGTAAAGAGCATTAGATAAGAATTCAAGGTGAAACGTTGTGGAAGGAAAATGTCACAGCTCTCTCCTGCAACTATACCATTTACAAATACACACGCCTACACGTACATGGAAACGCATTTAATGTGTGCGCAACAGCAATACATACCGAGGCGAAGGCGGCGGTGTAAATCGCAAGTGTTTGTTTTTATTATAATTTTTTACTTTGTGTGTGTGAACTTTTTACATTTGCAGTATGTTTCGATAAATATTTGAGCTTAACAAAGGATCTGAGAGCAAAGGAATTCTAAAAGAAAAAATTTAAAAATAATTCTCTTTTTATTTATGCTACAACTGCATGCACAACACTTTCAGAGCATTGGCAGCTCTTTAACTTAAATTAATATACAAAACTAACACATATTTAACATAAATAATTACCAGTATACAGCATTTTACAACAACTATTTAAAAAAAGCTTTCAATCTTTAATTAGGCATACGGTGTGTCCTAAAAATAGCCGAACTTTATATTTAAATCTTACAACATATATATATATATAATAATGTATATGTAAATCTGGAACGCTAAGCAATTTTAATTAGATGTGTTCGTTTAGTCTAGGAAATGCATGTTATGCAAAATTTTCTGAGGGGAAATTTGTTAGAGAACGCATGATTGTGGAGAGTTCTAGTCAAGCAACAACAACTAGTTGACGATAGAAACAGCGAATTGGACCCAGAAGCGATCACGATCTTAATTGTTAGAATTATTGCAACCAAGAAGATGGAAATAATGGAAATGAATAAAATAAGTAGTTCAGACAAAACTGTTTTCAATCATGCCGAAATACCTTTCGTGACCATATTAATTTTATGGTATGTCATATCTAAAAGTTTGGTTGGAGGGGTGTTTTCGACTTCGATGATTATCAGCACCAACAAAGTTTTCTTCATTTTTAGAAATTTTCTATTGATTCAGTAACAATAAAAGGTAGGGATTTGAAATTAAAAATACTGCGGAATCTTCTGGGTACCATTGTTTAAAAGATCATTATTCAAAAATACTTTTTTCGTTCTGAAATTATTTTCATTGAATTTTAAATTCCTTGCTTCATATTATAGCAAGAACATATACTCGTAACATATATGTGTATGTCTTATTTTCTGGTACTCGTTCGACAATTTCATACTTAGATCATTTGTTTTAGCTCGATTTTTATCTAAAGTGTATCCAGTCCTATGCTGTGATCCACTTTAAGTGTCTGAATGCTTCTTATTTTATTCATATTCGTTTGGTTCTAATGTTGCATCCTATTTATAACCTAAAAACGGTAAGTTTGCTTGGTTAACTGAAGTATTTAAATTTTGCTTTTGTACTATGTTTAAATATTTATTTGCATTTATTTCATTGTTTTCTGCTTTTTCACTGCGTTTGCCTGTGCTGATGCATGCTTTGGTTTGGTTTTGGTTCGTTGATTTTATTTGAAAATTGTGCTTTCATTGTATGTTTGTGTTTGTGTGTTTAAGAAGACTGTTTTGCTCGCTGTGTAAGGCATGCTGATCGTACTAATTTATGTTTTTGTTTTAAATTAAAATTGAATTTTTATAAAATTTTTGTGTTTATTAATTTAGAAGTTTTTATTATTATTATTCTTTTTTTTTGATTTTTGCTGCTGTTTACAGAAAAAAAAAATAAAGAAATAAAGCCTCCGCTTCCTATTCCAAAACAAATTATGTTTGCTTAATCTCTCTTCCTCTTTCACTCACTCTTTTAGTCTACCCTCTGGTCTGTGGAAATTATTAGCACTCTTCTGGCTGACGAAATTGGCGCTGCGAGGGCGGACGTAACGTATCAGAAAAATTTGGCAAAATTAAAAAAAAAAACCTACAAATTTTTAAAGTACTGTGGAAACTTATAAAAGCTGGGCTCAAACTACGGAATCGACGAAATTCTAAATTTACATACAAACACTTAAGTAAATGTACATACATATGTACAAATACACTTACCTGATCACGGGTAGCACGAGCTTTTATAATTATATATTTACACATACATACATACATACATATATTCATTGCAATAGTAGCGGCAGTTGTAATACTGTACCGTTAGCTCTACCTAATCATCTGCTGCGTCACTAATTAGTGTGGTTACGATGGATTAAAATATGCGTATGTATTTTGCTAATTCAAAAAAAAAAAAAAAAATATTTACAATTTTTCCAAATCGAAACCTCAGTCTGATATTGGCTCGCACATTTTCTACATAGTTTTATTGATTTTTTTTTCACAAAATATTTATGAAATGAGAAAGTGTAGGCGATGCCTGAAAAGCACAATCTTAAAGCGAAATTGAAAAAATTGGAAACTTAGATATTAAATCTGAATACACTTATGTGACATACGAGTAATTGCCTGTAGCTTATTTACCATACATGAAAATCTGTCAAATGAAAAAAAAAAAAAACAATTAAAAATTAATACCAAGAAAAACACTAATATTTGAATTTTAGCTCAGAAATTTAAATTGCAGTTCAATTTCAGAAAATTTAAGTTAGTGAAAAGTAATTATTTAATAAAAATTTGTTTTAAATTAATCTCGAATTTTTCCATAGTTCCTGCATATTTATGCAAAAGAAAAATCAATTGCATATATTATTGTACAACAAATGAAAAATGAAAAGTAAATCAAGTAAATATTTCATACATAATTAATTGATTTGAAGGTATGTCAGAGAAATGTAAAAATATAAATCACTTTAGGATAATATAAAAATTAAAAATGGGAAATATCTATTGAGGACGGGAAAGCGTAAGAAAATAAAAAGTCAATACAAACTTGCAATACTTTCTTCGAATTATGATTCGCTGTTTTTTTTTAAATGCTTAAACAAAATAAGCCCATCTTGAATTGAAAAACAAAATTACAATGGTTGAGGATTCAATTACCGCTCTTCAATATGAAACTTCATAATTATACAGGGTTATCCATTCATGTTCTTCAATTGCTGGTCAAAAAAGGTCGATTTTCATACGACCAACAACGCTTCGAATTCATAGTGAAAGTCTCGCTGTTGTAATTTTCAATTATTTGCGGATTCTCGGTGCCCCAAGTTATTCAAGCACCCAAGCGACGGATGTGCAGCGTTGTGAATGATCAGCTGAAAACGTCGAGAAATATACACATTCGGGACTTCGGCTACACTTTCACTTAAAGTAGCGATGATTAAGGTGGGACGGACTGGGCTTTAAATATCTGCGACCGATCCGATTTAACGCATTTTCAGGTTGTTAACTGAAGCAAAACAAGTTTGGTTTAACAGTTAAACAGTTAAACAGTTGTCAAAATACAACCCTGTACTTTCAGAATCACTTAGTGGATAACCCTGTATAAGCAAACCCACACAACATATTATAGTGCTCTAGAATAAATAAATTAGTTATTGATATATGATATTTATTGTAATGAAATAAATAAAATTTACACATACTTACGAATATTTATGTATGTATCTATAGACATAATTACTGTTATTTGGCTATTATAATAAGTAGAATAATGAAAATTATTAGTAAATGAAACATTTTCATACTTGTAAGTAGCGATGTAATGTATGATCTGAAGATTGTTTGATTACACTATAAATGAATATTTATGTATTGTACTACATTAAGACTGAAGAAACGATCACTGCAAATACATATTTATATTAGTACATACAAAAACAAATAAATACACAAAAAATTAATGAAGACATGAAAATTAATTTCATTAAAAATAAAAGCAATGAGGAAATACAAAAGTCCCTCATCTTATTTCACTCGCAAATGTGGTAAGTATGGAATGCGCTTTCAGAAATAGTTATAAAAAATCAAGGATAGAATTTTGTCTTTGTTGTTCTAAGGCGCCCCCGAACGGTCCATAATTTTTTATCGGAGAGTTCGTCATTCCCTGCCGAGGAGCGAGCGTAGTTAGAAAAACTAAATTCAATTCATAGCCCTTCAGAAAAAACTATCGGCCGTTCGGAGGTAGATTAGTTTCACGTTTAGGTTAATTCATTTAGTTGGAAAAACATCAAGATGCTTGCCACAAATAGGAGGAAGAGCTCGTCCGAAAGCCGCTTTTGCGGTTAAAAATCTCAATATCTCTGGCAGTGTGATTCCTGTTGTCCACCGGCCAAGTTTTTTTCTTAAATATTAAGAAACAAATAATTTCTGGGCATAACATTTGTTTCCGAAAAACGACCAATGATGTCACCGGTCACATGCCGCACGAAACCGTCTAGGCGGGAATGAGATTCTTCGGAAAGGAAGATCAAGCCTTAAAAATGCTGACATTCTGTCAAACGACTTACAGCCCATGGAACAAAGCTAGGGCTCACCAGTCATATATACAATATGTAGATTGGTGCTTTACAACTGCTTACTTTTGCGTAGAGACATCCTCCATTCTTTTGAGAGTATATTTTTTGTGGGAGGATTTATTGTTTACCCGTTCAGAGGCGTGTGGCGCTCGTCACTTCGGAGGAGTATTCAACCCCTTTGGGTGCATATCTGACGTGAAATGAAAACTCCCAATATGAAGCTAACTTAAAGAATACTCTAAGCCCGCCATCTAATGGAAAAGTATCAAACAAGCATTGCCTTCTTCCTTCCAGAAGTTGAAGCCTTCACAAATTTGCTAAAGGGTGGCGTACATTTTGTTTGTTTAACACACATATAGTTTGAAATGACTCTTTAAAAGTATGTAGTGTGTACTACAAATGCTGTACTCGCATTATTTTTCGCACATTTAGTAAAAAGTAATCAATCGATTATGCTAATGTCAACGAGAATATGTATTTGTACTTTCATTGGCATACTCCGGGAGTCGCTCTTCAACCCAGTCAACAAAAAGCTTAGAGATTATAGATAATGTGATTTAAAATCGTAACGCCGACCGCTGATTTACGTAGCATTTGGGCAGATATTTTCTATCTGAACAAAAAAAAAAAAACTTCCTGATGCAATTTTGTGACTTTCTCCTTTAGGCAAGTGGTGAAGTGCGGTATCATTTTTTTCCTTTCTCAGCAGTTTCCCACCCTGCCCTTCGTCTGTTTCTTAACCACCTACTCTACTTCCGCGTCAGCTGGAAACCTTTTTCACTGATGGTCAGCTGGGTCTGGGAAATGCCCGAAGTGGTTCAGGACATCCCTTTTCGACGAGGGGAACAGTTCCTTCGTCAATCACAGTTTAAGGTCTTCCGCTCCTCTATTCACCATGTACAGACGTATGAATGCTCTTAAGCCCGCGTCAAGAGCTCTCAACGGACTGACCTCATACCAGTCGCAGTCCTCATCATGCTGTCTACAATATAAATGTTTTTATTATTTAGTTCAAACCCAAAAATGTCCAAAAATCTACTTAACTGTCTACGGATCGAAATACTTGAAGCTATATTTGAATCTAGAGTTATGAATGATAAAGCTGTATCTATGGTGTCATTGAGATAATTTCTGTGTTTGCTGGGCAATTCCTTGTCATCCATAACCTTTAAACATTAAAACAAACCACCACTAACTTTTTATCCAACGTATATACAACACATGCATATATTTGTATGTATTGAATATATGCATATAAGTATGTATGAGCCCTCACATGTCATTGTTAACAACCAAATGTCGATACACTCACCAGGTGTAACCAAGGCAACAGTCAAAACAATAACAAACAATCAACCCAATTCGGTTAAGGAGCCCTAGTGGTGGTGGCAAGCAAGGACGAAAACATTAAATATTGACCTGCACTATTACTCCCCTGCAGCGCAAGCCCTTGGTTAATGTCAGCAAGAACGCATGAAAAGCAACCGTTAAACTGTCGCAGAGCGAATGAGCTCAGCAAATATTGTCAGCTCGTTATTTTCATGCTGCCTTCAGACGCAGTTGGCTCAAGCGAAGTGGCAAAGTTTCAGTAAAAAAGCAGAAGTTGTGCGGTTAAGAGGATTTTCGTCAGGACGAATATACCTTTTTAGCCAAATTAATCTGAACATTTTACTATATCGACTTGAGTTGAGTTTAATGCAGTTGTTGTGGAACAACAACATGTATCCTCAATCGGAGCTGGATAACTACAAATTGCAAGTGGATTTGTTGCAGGAAAAATTGAAGCAAAGGTAAGAGAAAAATGCGAGCACGCCAAGTGTTAATTTCACCATTTTCCCTCTTTCGGAGTGAAGTGGATTATATAAGTTTACAGCAGATAAATTAGCATGGACAAGTGAATGAAGTGTTGTTGACGCCATTTTTGTTTTTAAATAAAACTCTACAAAACCCTAAACGAAAAAGGGACGAAAAGAACGTCCAAGGCGCCTCACGATTTTTTAGGAAAAATAGCTCCTTTTAAAAAGTGCAAAAACTGAAATGTCTTCGTTATTATTAAGTTTGAACAAGGCATTATATGTATGTGAGACGCTAAATCATGAAATGACCGAAACGCTAAAATTTGCAAACTGCGATTCGTTTGAGTTGATTTCCGATCACTTTTTGGTACGTATTGGGCGGTATCTCAGCCATAACTTGACAAATTACGCGGCCGGGATATTTGTCTCGCTATAAAGCCATATTCGCTCGTGTTGTGTGGCAGGTGACATCAGCTTGTTGAAACCACATATTGTCCAAGTCGTATTCTTCAAATGCAGGCCAAAAAACGAGGGTTATCATACTATCATAACGGTCGCAATTGACAGTGACGGTGAGACTGTTGCCGTTTTCAAAGAAGTAAGATCCAATCACACCTCCGGACCAAGAAGAGAAGAAAGAGTAGCTTATAGTCCGTGTCTCGTGAATACTAACGGTGCCAGGCTTTCCATGAATGTTAGCACTCTCGCGACTCACATTCGTTCCAAGCAATTTCTGGCTCAAAATGTATTCCTTTTAGGGAAGTGTTTGAAAAAATTTCATTCCTCTCACTTGATTTTTACAAATACAACATGTTCACTAGAATTTCCTACAAAGTATTTGCTTTAAATATTTCAGTGAGGAGAATCGGCAACAACTACAAAAGGAATTACAACAAATTTTGCAGCGACGATGTGAGCAGTAAGTATTTTAGAAGAAAAAATTATATACAAATGTAAATAATCCTCCACCAAACTGATCTCTGCTAACTCACCAGCGACAAATCAGTGCGCGCCAAAATTCGGCAAAAATACCAAAGTTTTGTGGACGAGCAAGAACGACGCAACGAACGCAACAAAATCCTCATGCAAATGCTCGAGCGCATTGATCAGCAGTCGGCCGCGTTATCGGCGCGTAGTGAGCGACTCAAAATGATGAAGGTGAGTGAAAAATTAGAAGCAATTTTAAGTTTTTCAGCTCAGTCCTGACACTGTGTATCTCCCACCTAAAGCTCCAATATGAACGTTACTTTGCCAAACTTATGCAAACTCAGCCCGTGCGATGTATACCAGGCGCTACCGAACTCAATATAGGAGTAGCAGCTGACGCAGTGCCAATATCTGCAGTGTCTGCCTCCACACAGATACCAGTCTTATTGCCGGCGCAGCCTGCCAACTCTACTCTACCGACTAACGCATTTGGCGGTGGAGAAAACTCTGTTCACGGAGGAGGACAGCCGGCCCAACCGATAACAGCTTCCAATGAGCCACAACCGGCTGCACTTACGCCACGAATGTGGACTTTTGCGATGGCAACACCGACGCCTGCGGGGTTACTGCTTACTGGACCAACGCCACCGGCTATGCCGACCGCGTCACTACCAACGGCAACTACACCTTACGAATTCTTGCAGTATCCCTTGGGTTATGCACCAATTCTACAGCAACCAATTCACCAGCAAGCGCACTACACTGCGCCAACTTCATATAGAACAAGTTTATATGGAAATCGGGCAAACAATCCACCCCAAACGCATAATGATCTGTTAAGAGAAAAGAAACTCAGCTTCACCAGCAGTTATGTGCCGACTGCTGAGGCAGCAACTTCCACAGAATTCCCTATGTTAGCTAATGAGAGTCACAATACAAACAGTGATCTGTTAGAGACGCCGAATCTTATCTCCAAACCACACGATTCCAATGAAGTTGAAAACAGTCAAGCAGAAGGAAGTTCAAACATTCATCGGGCAGTACACACACTTCCTTTGCAAACACCTACCTCGGCCACAGATGAACCTTTATCACAACAGATCGACTACGATTTTAAAGCTTACGAGCAATCTCCTGACGCAAAAGCGAGTGAGCCGAGCTCAGGACTTACAGAAGTAAGGAATAAACTATCTGAAGTGCATCTTGAGGACGATGAAAATTCAAACGACGTTTCAACTTATATGAATAGGACACCGATCGGTAATTTTGAAAAACCAAGCATGATCACAAGCACGCCCTACAGCTACGAAGGAACCAAAGATAAGCCAAAAGTTGTATTGAGTGCTACTGAAGATGGGGAGGGGGGAGAGCATTCAACTTTAAGCACAGCGGAAGATCACTTAAAAAAATTTGCAGAAATTGAAAGAATATACGGTCCCATATTTACCGAGGAAGAGAACGACAATGCAGATCTCACTGGCATAGACTATCAGCAGGGTTTGAAAGAATATAAACCATTCTCAGAGATCATTAACCCGAAATCTAATTTAACTGAGGATAAGCCAACCGTTTCCACAGTGGAAAGCATGGAAAATCAATCCTCATGGCAATCACACACTGGTTCCATTGAAAATGCGCCTTCGTCAACTAGTGCCAGCATTTCAACTGCATCAAAACCGGTTTCAATCGATAACATTGAAAATGCCATTTATGGTGAGTTGGTGAATCCACATTTGTCTGAACCAAAAGCGCCAAATATGGGTAACGCCGCTCAGGGCTTTTTCACTGAGCTACTCGGTCAACAAGACCCGACGCAAGAAACCGACGATATGGAGAAGGTTAGCTCGCAAAAGTCAGAACAAACCGCTAAACGTGTGTTGGAAACAAGCACGCCTACCACCAACACAGATAAGAAAATATCTGTTGATGATGTCGCTGGTTTGGAATACAAAACTGAAGCTTCACTGAGCGAGACACAAAACCAGGCTGCATATGATACATCCGATGCTGAAGCTTATCTTCCTACAAGCACACCAACAACGGCAGGCGTTTACGGCGCTGCTGAGACAACGAATAACTACGCCGAATATCCAACTGAACAGACCATCGATCCGAACGCCACTGATGCCAGCAACCTTGATCAGCAAGAACAACAATCGGACTACGCCCAGCAAGACTATGGAAATTATGATCCATCCCAGTATGGCAACTACGACCCTAACGCCTACCCCGGCTACATATACGACGAAGCTAGCGGACAGTACGTCGTCGATCCACAATATGTGGCCGGCGATGGTAGTACTATGGACGTTGCGTATGCTGCGCCAGACTATGGCGAGCAAGTGCCTCATGAACAACAACAACAGCAGCAATTGGACTATCAAAATGCGCAAAGTCAAGAAGTTAGCTACGGCTATGAGGAAAGCACGCTTCCAACACCACCAGCAACAACTGCAGATGTTACAGAACCTGAGCACTCTGCAGCTGCTGAAACTTCAATCAAGCCAACATCGGAACCAGCGTCTGCCGACCCAGTTGCGACACCAGCTGCCGTAAGTGCACCAAAAGTTTTGAAACCCACATCGATTCTCTCCACGGCGGAGAAAAACGCGACGCAGACTGATGCGCAGAAGAAGAAGAAGCGCGTCAATTTTGTGGATAGTAGTGAGACAGATGACAGTTCCGGCGCTAAACTACCGGGCGTTGGTGCGGCGACGGTTGGAGGTAGCGAGAGTGACTTTGACTTTTCGAGCGGCGCTGAGACATCGGTCGGTTAAACGAGATTACCGACGACGGTCTAGAATTTTTCCAATTAAAATTTTGTATGCACTTTATTAACATCGAACAAATGCACAAACAAATATATTTTTTCTTCTACTCCTTTGACTAATGTATGAAGGTTTGATTCAATAAATATCGCTTAGCTTAGAATAAAATCTCTGCTTGACTAATATTTGGGGTCTGCGTCTGGTCATCTAAGGAAACCTTATTCTGGATCTTAGGTTGGAAGATTAAACAGCAAAGCTTCATAATCTAATGTCTAACATAACAGTTTCGCAGTGTGTTTCTATCTCTACCATACCAGGTCTTAACGAAAGCGACACCACCTGAAATCCTGCTAGGCAAATCTATGCTAAGCCTAAAAGGTTAAGACTTTCGGTTCATTCTAGATCACATTTTGTGTTTCTATCTCTACCATACCAGGTCTTAACGAAAGCGACACCGCCTGAAATCCGGCTAGGCAAATGCCTAAAAGGTTAAGACATTCGGTTCATTCTAGATCACATCGACTCAACACGGTGTTAACGTAACAAAAATTAGAGATGTGCTAAAATTATCGATAACTTTAATTGGTTTCTACGTTGCGGGCTCCAAGGCCCAGCCCAGAAGGTTACTCTCTTGGGTAACCCAAGGCTTTACGTTGCCGCATCTCGCCCAAAGATTTACACACATTTCCAGTGTGTGCGACGCAGGATAATAATCCTTTACACGCTGACGTGGAACAATACCAAAAGCTCTGTCTGGATCTGCAAAAACTGTTCCAGCTGTTTCGCACTAAACCAGGACACAACGAGAAAAACAATGTCAGTCTTACGAAGATCCCTTCTGCTAACAGCTGCTACTTTGGAATGAGTAGGCAATTGAAAACCAAACTCCACAATTCCCTCATAAATGCAGTTCTTTCCAGTTCTTCTATATGACGATGAAGAGAAAGGTTTTGCGGTTCTTTCGCGATGGCAATAACGAATACCGTAGGCGAGGTATGTGCCAACATTGATAGTGAGCGGCTTCGTTGGTGAGGATATGTTGTCCGAATTGATGAGATCACTCAACAGTCCGTTTATAAGATCAGCTGGAAGAGGACCTGGCTTCACTTCGTGCCTCCAACTGGCGCCAAACGGTGAATCGCAACGACAGAGCCAACGCCAATATGAAGGAGAAGAAAAGCCTGTGTGTGCTCGTACAATGGAATATCTATTTAGTCTAAAAGTCTGTTGCTTAATTTAAAGTGTGAAAAAGTGGTTTCTTCTACTTACAGATACATACAAACGTACATCCACACATCTGCTTACAAAGTTCTTCGAAATACAACGGCTACCATTTGGTCAGACACAAATGAACACAAATAGATTTATTGTAGTATCTCACTATTCGCGAAAGTGGCGTGAAGAGTAAACAAAATAACCTGATGCAAGTAAATAAACGAAGAGACCAATGTAATCAGGCAAATTTCACAATTTGTGTATATAATATGTTTGGTTGTTGCTATATGAAAATATGCAGATGGACTGTTAGGCCTATAAATTGACTAGCCAAAATAACAGTGTCTACTTTGAATTTTCGCTTTTGTTGCTAGAGGCCTACGGAGGCCAATTAAGCCGAAGAAGTGGAAGCCAAACACGGTACTGATGATGTCAGAGATAATATTGATGTTTATACAATTTGATTGGCGTATGCAGAAAGCCAATAAAAAGATTGAATATGAGTAAACGTGTCAGCGAAATTAACTAAATTGGTTTAATAACAAAAAATACATACTTACACAATATTACTTTTTATTCCAAGAATTTTTTCTTGAAATATTCTACGGTGTTAGTTGGCACATTGATAGTTTCATCGGTGGAAACCCGAGGGTTTTTCCACCGATCCAACCTTTCCTCTGGGACACACCTAACCGAATTATCAAATCTCTGCTCTTTAAGCCCAATGGCATTTACATTAGCTACCCAAACAACATTTACATTCACTTCATCATAACCATATATACAAATAGATATATGTGTGTTCAATGAACTTTAAAATGAACGGTCATTTTATTGCGCCAATCGATCATGTGGTCTCAGTTGAGCATGCTCAGCAATCCGGCACAAACTTCTTTACTCAGCGACCGCAATAGCAGAGCTGTTAGCATTGCGTACTGCCATTGGTGGAGAAGCTCGGCCAAAAGCAGTCAAAAGGCATCAATTTTATTATAAACATTATGACCGGAAAGTTTCCGGGAATGGTCATTTAAACTGACCTACGAGTTTTCACCTAAGCAAACTGACGAACGTGATGTGGGTCTTAATGCTTTTTCTCAGTTTTATGTCTCCGCCTTGAAATATAGCCTGAGAGTCCCGAATTTTGAAAGACGCTTTTTATAATTTGAAATTTGATCGACAAGGATTCGATTCCATCACCATCGGCATGGCACCACACACTGCTAACCACTCGGCTACAGTGAATGCCGATATAGTCGTGCATACATACACACATGTGTACATTTCTGAGTACATTTCCTCCCTCTATTGAGTTTCACAAAAATAAATCACACACATGTGCTAAATCATTCATGCCATTGATGACGTAGCAACAGCGGTGAGCAACGCCATCCCATAGGCATACATCAATAAGCACAGTGGACTGGTCAGCAATCTGAACTGCTTACGTTTTATGCACATATCTAGCGCCATCCATGTGCTCGTTGAAAACACTGTAGTGAAAAGCTGAACTGTTGGAAACACATAGGCAAAAATACTATTTACAATAGTTAAAAATTGGTTTTTCAAAGACGAAATAATGCCAATAAAAATAATTTCCATCACGACTCCAAAACAATGTTCGGTTAATTTTTAGCAAGCCACGCACGGGATACGTTACATATTCTGTTATGCTTAGTTAAAATTAGGGTATGTCGTTAAAATAAAATTTATATCGTCAACATAGCCGAGTGGTCCGCGAAAGGAAATTTTGGGTTGGATATTCGGGGTTCAAATCGTGGTGCAGGCAAATTGATTTTTGTTTCTATTTTTGAGGCGAAGAAAAAATTCAACATACCCATATGAATTGGTATTTAACTAGTACGCTGGTAAGCTGAGCATAGTCGAACAATAGAAAATTCGCAACTCAGCTAGAGACCTACAACCTCGGCTGCCCACAACCAGTCCGCTGTCACCGTGTAGCTGGCAACCTCATTGCAGCATACACGTATTCAGTGTTTGAGCAAAGTTTTTCCAAGTGCACAGATTTTCACGTGCCCGCGCTCCTTATGATCGTTTAACTTGGTTTGCCACCTGATCGCTTTCGTATCTGACTGAGTATGCAAGTATGCGCCAAGAGCGTGCCTGAGCTTAGTCACGTAGGCCGAGCGAGTTATTTAGGCAAAATGAAACTAAAGCTACGCCAATAATGGGCAAAGCGTAAGTACAAGTGCCGCACATACGCGAATAAAGTTCTGTGACGACAGCAAAGCGACCCCGCAGCGCTGACTGCTGATTGAGCATTTCTTTTGTGATTTTTTTTATTATATATTCTTTTATTTATGTTTTTAGCTTTAGTCTTTTTTGTCATTTCCATTCCACATTCCATGTAAGCAAATTAAGCATAGGTGAGCTGAGTTAGCTCAATAAATTTCTCCAAATCGAAAATGTGTACATTCATAAATGAGCCCTTTGGTGTCTTATTGTTAAGCTTTCTGTGCTTTCTGTGCACCTCTCGATTAAATACATGCCTATGCATGTTTGTATGTAAATATGTAAACATGTTCGATCGCTTCTTGCTCTCAGCAAACGTCGCGGAGGTTTGCCGATAACAGTGGTGTTTGGAGTGAAGCACGACGAGCGTTTGGTTTTCGGGGCTTCGTAATCGTTGAAATAATTTGTCAAAAGAGAATGTGAAAAAATTCGCTGATTTTGATTAGTATTGATTTATTTTAGTGGTTTACAGATAGTTTACTGGGTTAGGTCGAGTGTTTGGCTGATAGCGCCTATTGTGCATGGTCATACTACTCTTGCGTGTTTGTATTGTACTTTTAAAGCTGATAACTCAGTGTGTGAGTGAATGACTAGCAAGAAATACAAATAAGTAAGATTACCAAAAGTACAGATATCCGTTGGTCTAGGTCGATATGATGTAACTAGTACTTTTGCAGAAGTGAGGCGCTAGACGGCGGAGTCACTGGTTACAATGAAGCATCAGCTGACCTTGAGAATACAGACCGAATTTGCCATCACGCATGCCGCGAGTATTCCAAATCTCCTCGGCTGCTCGCAGCGTTACCAGACTTACAAATACGAGGTGACGCTCTTAAACATGTGAGGGGGGAAGAAGCCCCCAATTTCTAGATTTTCCTTCAAAAATTATAAGCAGCAAAATGACAATCCAGTGTTCGGGGCTAGGCAAGATCTTTTTTGTTAAGTCAGGATCCGTTGGCTCGTAACTTTGCCATAAAAAGTCTTATGAGGAGATGTGGTGATCTCCGAAACAGCAGCCACTTCTACCATTTTTCTGTGTTGCATAACAAAATATTCAATTCATACAAACAAACCCTTCCTTTAGTATACGAGGCTTTAACCAACTCTAACGTTGCTGAGCGAAGCATTAGCAGAAGATAAACAAAAATTCTCGGCGTTCTTTCATTTTGAACCAGGAGTTGAATCATTTTATTTCACTATTTTTCTTTGATATGCAATTGGATAAAAGTCCACCCTTTACACATGTAATGAAGCCAGTCTGTTTGACTCTAGATCTAGTCAATCTAATATTTTTCACTTTCATTGAAGAGGCTTAACGAAGAGAACACCCGCTGAAAGGGTCCTAATAAAGTTCAGAAGAAGGTCTCAGGAAAAGATATTGAAAACGTATGATTCTAACGACAAGAACTTCTCAAGACAACAAGAAAGATGCCAACCAATTCTGTCATAGTGCGTACTAACATTCGAGAGGTCAGGGTACGTCAAAATGTAAAATTATAGAGAATTCAATTATCTTATTGTGGTCGTACCTCGACGGGGACTGAACGGAATATGTTCATAAAAATCCATCAGCCATATGCTGACGGCCTAGAGTAAACTGTAAACTC